AAATGTTGTGGATCTTGATGACTGGAGGACGGGGTAAATATTACCACGATCAAAACACATTGTATGAAACGCTCAAAAAACTAATTAAAATTTCAAATTAAATAAACATTTCTAATATATTCAACAGGCATTATTATCAGCACTTAGACTAGTTATGAGTCTCTGCAATAACTGCAAAAGGAAACTGCTCTGACCAAAGCTGACAACAGAATTGACCTATGGGCATAGACATGTGTTTGAATACTTTGTCTCCAGTTGGTGGTGCTTTTTTGCAAGGTTGTGGACCCTTTGGGAAGTGGAACCTAGCTGGAGAAAGTGGGTCACTGGTGTAGTGGGCCTTCTACATTCTGGGCCACCCTCACTTCCCAGGGTTATATAACAAGCATCTGCTTCAAGTAGCTAATACAGATAGATGTTCATCTTAATGAATGTTCTGCCCTGATGGAAGGCATTATCCTCTTTGGTTTCCAGATAAATTTATGATCATTTCAGCCAAAATGGGATGGTTTGTAAGACAAAATGGGACGGTTTCAATAGACAAAAAGATTATAAGTAGATTTAAAGAGTATTTTCAGGGAAAAAAAAAAAACCACATCATTCTATGCCTTAAATTATTACTTGAATTTAAATGTTACAGGTTGTATATTTGCCTACACTTCCTATGTATTGTTTAATTTGACCTTAGACTTGATTAAGAGCTACAAGCAGGAGATTTAACTGATCTTGTATTAACATATACTAAAAATAAAACAATGTAAGGCAATGCTAGAGTCCAAGAATCTTTTTAAAAAGGTGTTTGAATATGTATTTCAAAAACTTTCATAATAAAAAGCATATATTAATTAAAATATGTAATTCACTCAATTTTGAGGACTATTCCCTTTAGTGTTACAATAGCACCCAAGAAAACTGAAGCTAAAACAGTATAACCCAGCTGGGCGTGGTGACACACACCTTTAATTCCAGAACTTGGAAGACAGAGGCAGGCAATCTCTCAGTTCAAGGCAATCCTGGTCTACAAAGTGAGTCCAGGACAGTCAGGACTACACAGAGAAACCCTGTCTTAAAGAGAGAGAGAGAGAGAGAGAGAGAGAGAGAGAGAGAGAGAGAGAGAACAGTATAGCCTTTAATCCCAGTAGTTGGGAAGCAGCAGCAGCTGGACTTCTTTGAGTTTGAGTTCCAGATCATCCAAAACTACACACCCTGTCTTAATAGATTGGTTGGTAGGTAGGTAGATAGATAGATAGATAGATAGATAGATAGATAGATAGATAGATAGATAGATAGATTCCACACAGATAGTTATAAATGCCTGGGGGAAATTCTGGCCCTTCAACATTCCATCATGATGAAGTAAGAGCTCATGAAGCACCACCCCTTCCTGGGGAGCTTTTGGCAGTTAATGGTTGGAAAAAGTTTTTCACTGGAATAGCCAATGATAAGTGGCCTGTGCTCAAGAAATAACCTCTCATGCTCTTGTAAGCAAGCCTAATTCAACTTGGTCACAAAATAAAGGAATGAAAGTAGGAGGGGGCTAGTTAGGAAGAAGAGGGTCTAGGAAGAGTAGAAGAAAAATGAGAAAGGATAATGGAGGGTAAATATGATCACAATACATTTTATATATTATGAACTTGTCAAAAATATAATTTAAAAATCCTCTCTTAGGTCTAATACATAGAATAGCTTAAATAGTGACACTGTCACTGTATGTTTTAATATTTAAATAATATACTAGGGGCTGGAGAGATGGCTCAGCAGTGAAAGGCACTGACTGCTCTCCCAGAGGACCCAATTCAGTTCCCAAAATCCACATGGCAGCTCACAACTGTCTATAACTCCAGCCTGAGGAGATCCAATGCCCTCTTCTGGCCTTCTCTGCAAATGCTAGGCACATGTATGGTACACAGATACACGTTCAGGCAGTTGTACACATAAAAATAAATAAAATCTCAAATAAATAATATACTATAATCTACAATATAATTTTCTTCTTTGGTTTTATTTTTCTCTAAGAAGAGAGTCATAACTATGAAGGTCTGCCTTGTCTTCTCTGATTCAGGAGAATACTGTAAAACATCTCCAGGCTCTAACTCCTATTTTGGCTTTATGACTGAAAAATGAATTCCCTTTACCTTAACACACACTCTAGACAGTCATGTGATTCCCTAAACTTAATATTACACACAAACGCTTTCATCTTCTGATAGAGATATTTTAAAGACAACTTTTTCTCAAAGGAAATGAAATAAAGGCAGGATATTCTAAACCACATCATATCTGGGCATATTTCAACAGCTCTGAGACAGCCACTGGCAAAAATTAACTTCTAAAAGACCCTGGTAACAAAATGCAGCTCAACTTCATCGCCTCTGCCTCCCAGCATACTTCTTAACCTGAAAACCAAATGATGTGAATGCGTGATGCATGTCTGCAAGGAATGTGATGCAATAATCATATGTCTACAATTCCATTATGCTATAATTAATCTTAATTATACATTCAATCCTGCCTGAATTAAAAGATTCACATGGCTTGACTCTTGTGTTTCCTATAATTGTACTGTGATATTTTGAGAAATATAAAGTAATAAATCTTATAAAGCAATATGGTATTTTGGAGAACTCTATTCTTACTAGTTGGGTATGAGATCAGCTGTGGCTATCCCAGAGTTTTCGTCACCATTTACTGGGGACAAAGAGACAGCATTTTATGTCCCTGTTTCCCAGTCTCAGCCTCAGAGGCAGTCAGCACATGGGAAAGGAAACTCTGATTATATATCCAGTCACCTGACAGAGGGGGCGGCCCCCTCCCTCTTCATGCATTTATGTTTCTCTTTAGTGTTCTGAAGCCTGACTAAGGACTTGGCATTTGCCTCCTTTTCCATGTATCATTGTGAGAATTTCTTGGGTTCTCTTTCAATCTTCCCCCTCTTGCTTTCACAGGCACTTATTAACCTTCTTGGAGCTTCTCCAGGAACACCCAGTAACTCTTATGGAGCAAAGGATCTTCTTAGAAGGCGGAAAGCTGCACCCACGGCAGCCCCTTTATTGTGGTACAATATAGACACAGCAGGCATTATCTGTAAGGCCAATATCATGAGTTCCTTTTTCAACTTGCACTGGCTGAGCTCTGGTGCAAATGGGGATTAGTATCTTTGGAGTTGAAATTTTCCAGTATCCAATCCTATCTTTCTTAGTGTAAAGAAATGTCTGGAACTATTCGAAAAACTGTTCTTGAGAAAACATAAGAACTCCGTACTGGTTTGTGGACTTTGGCTGGACACATTTTGGCCCTGAAAAGGACAAGTTTTGCTTACTTGGGGAAAGGAACAAAACAACAACAAAAACAGCAAATGTTCATTAAAAATACTGTACCTACAATGGAGTCTGGCAAAAATGCTATGTTCTGTTATACTGAGCAAAGGAACTGAAGTCAAAACAAGAAATGATGAAGACTGTCCTGTCCCAGGAGGAAGACACTGGATATTTGCAATGGGAAGGACAATGAAATTGTGAGACAGCTTAAAAAAAATGGGAGACTCCATATGAAAGTTCTAAGCATCCTATGAAACCCAGGGGCAGAGCTGCACCCTTTCTAGAGGTTATAGTGACCTGAAACATCTATTCCGTGCAGGGATTCTAATGACCTCAAAGAAAGGTATGAACACAGCCTCTTCGTGAATTTCCTGAACTTTCCAGAAAAAATCCTTTGAAATATAAAGCTTCCCTTTATAAGAGAGACGTATGCTAGGTGTTTGTGGCACACGCCTTTAATCTCAGAGATGGCAGAGGCAAGTGGATGTGTGAATTTGAGGCCAGCCTGGTTTACAGAGTGAGTTCCAGGACAACCAGGGTTACACAAAGAAATGCTGTCTCAAAAATAAATAAATAAATAATAAGAGAGAAAGAGAGATGCGATGTAGAGATTTTGGCCTTCTTGATGTGGTAGAGATAACAATTTTTCCCTAAGAGATACTAGAAAGGGAATATATATATGCTGTAACCAAATTTATAAAACAAAAAAAAAACTATTGTAGCATTATTAGTATATCACTTAGTCTCTCCTTTACTTACTTACTTACTTATTTATTTATTTATTTATTTATTTATTTATTTATTTATTTATTTATTTATTTACTTGAGACAGGGTCTTTCCACATAGTCATAGCTATCCTGGAACTCACTGTGTAGATCAGGATTCATAGCTATACACTTACATCTGCCTTGAGTGCTGGGATTAACGACCTGTGCTTCCACAGCTGACTTAACGTATCACCACTTAATCTGAGTCCTAGATACATCAGAGTGGTGGGCTTGTGAAAATTTAGCAAACTACACACTTATATATGCATACTTTTCTGTCTTTATGTAATACTTTAAACTTTTTAGATTTGTTAATTTTATGTGTATTAGTGTTTTGCCTACTTGACTGTGTGTGCACAATGTGTATGCCTAGTACTCTCTCAGAAGTCACGTGAGATGTCATGGTCTCTAGGACCGAAGTTACAGATAGCTGTAAGCTGCCATGTGGGTGCTGAGAATTGAACCCAGGTCCTATCCAACAGCAGGAAGGACTCTTTTTTAATTAAATTTTTATTTTTTATATTAATTACAGTTTATTCACTTTGTGTTCCAGCTGTAGCTCCCTCTCTCATTCCTTCCCAATCCCAAACTCCCTCCCTCATCTCCTCCTATGCTCCTCTCCAAGTCCACAGATAGGGGAGGTCCTTCTCCCCTCAGGAAGGACTCTTAATCTCTGAGCAGTCTCTCCAACCCTAAGTGTATTGCACTTTAATTAAATGTTGCTTTTGTGGCTGGTGAGGTGTCTTAGTGGGTAAGAGCATTTGTCACCAAGTCTGAAAGATCTTAATCACAGAGGAATGGAACGGATTTCTGAAATCTGTCCTCCAAACTCCACACATAGTCCATGGCACACATGGTAAAGAAGGTAAAGAAAAAAATATTTAATGTAGCTTTCAATTCCTTTAAAAGAATTCAAAAGACGACCCTTATCAAAACTGCAGCTGCTTCCACATAGCTGGTGTGGTCAGAAATAAGCCCCAACTAACAGTTTTCCTTAATTGTCATGGTTCTGTTTGCTATAACACATCTGTAAGATTTTGGGAAAAGACAGTTCCATCTTCACATTTCTGAGAAGTAGCCAGAGATCTTTGTTAACAGTGAATACTCTACAAATATTGAGTACCAAACATGGAGTTAGCAAACTGCTTCCCAAAGCAGTTTGCTGAGCCCCAAAACCAGCATAAAGTGACACTTGCAAGTATGTTTATTAGCGTATAGGCAGCCTGCTTCTGGATTTCCTAGGAACCTATGATGTCATCATGTGTCACCCACCATGTGTATGGCAGATGTGGTTCAGCTGCACATGCACAAGCTATAAAAGGATCAACCCGCCACTTTGCCTCTGTCTTACTCTCCTCTCTTATCTTCCTCTCTTGCTCCCTCTGCCTTGCTTTGTTTCCTGGGAGCTCCCCACCATCTCTCTCTTTCCTTTTCCTCTCTATCTCTCCACCTCCATCCAATAAATCTCTTTCATAATATCTGTCGTGTGTGTGGCATCATTTTAAAATAAATACAAACAACGTTCACCCTGGAAATAGCGAGTGGCACACAGCAATGCTTTGGGTCACTGCCCTGTAAGCTAAGGCCAATCAGACCCTTATATTTCTGAGGACCAGGTACAGGGATCCACAAGATCATTGTGTATAATTGTGTTGGCATAAGAAATGAAATGATAATTCAAATGGTATTTTTAAAGATTAAATTATCATTTTTCAAAGTAGAAAAATAAAAATAAGTAAATTTTCAAAATTTAGATAAAATGGGTGGTAGTGCATTTTTTTAATTTCTCATTTGCTTTCTTTTTCATTTTTAAATTTATCTTGTGTGCATATGTATATGTGGGCCAGACATGCATGCTCCATGGAGAACAAATGGAAATCAGACAACTTGCAGAAGCTGATTCTCTCCTTCCTCCATGGAGCTTACTCCATGGAAGTTGCTTGTCGGCTTTGGTGGCAACACCCTTTTCTGCTGAACCATTTTCTCAGCTCTATTTTCCTTTTTTGTGGGGGAGCAGGTTCAAGACAGCATAGCCCTGGCTGTCCTAGAATTTTATCTATAGACCACCCTGGCCTTGAACTCAGAGATCCAGCTGCCTCTGCCTCCCAAGTGCTAGGATTAAAGATGTGGGTCACCACTGCCTGGATCTATTTATCTTTTGAAACACATAGATTCTACCTATTTTAACCCTAGTCTTGAAAAAAAAATGCTGACTTTGTTTTATTTTATTTTATATTTTCTTTTGAAACAGAATCTGAGGTACCCCCAGCTGGCCTTGAACTAACTATACAATTAATGAGACCCTTGAATGTCTAATCTCCCTGCTTTGCTTACTAAATGTTGGCTCATGCCACCATGCCCAATTTCTATGGTGTTGGGGATCTGACCCAGGGCCTCATGCATTGCTGGGCAAACACTCTAACACTAAGCAACATTCCCAAGCCCATCTACTATCTTTTCCCAAGCCCTTTATTTCCCCATTCTTTTTCCTGCCCATATACTTTAAGGCACTTGAAAACTAGAGGTTATCGGGTCTTTTCTATTCCAGAATTAAAACAAGTACATGAGGAGTCTTTTCTTAAACCACAGCACTGAGTCTCATTGTTTACCAAAAACAGATATAACAATTGTACTAAATAAATAAAAGATATAACTTAAGTATTTAAAAGTCTCACTCAAGGGGCTGGCTGGAGAGATGACTCAGACGTTAAAAGCACTTGTTGCAGAGGACTGGGGTTCAGTTCCCACATGCAGCTCACAACCATCTGTAACTCCAGCTTCAGGGGATCTGATGCCCTCTTCTAATTGTACACACATCAGGCATACACATGGTGCACATATACACAAACAGGCAAAAGATACGTGCACATAAAATAAATGAATCTAAAAAACCTTTAATCCCAGAATTCAGGGAGGCAGAGACAGGAAGATCACTGTGTGTTGGAGTCCGGCCTGGTCTACAAATCAAGTCCAGGACAGCCAAGGGCTATAAAAGAAACCTTGTCTCAAAAACAAACAAACAAAAAAAATCTAAAAAAAAAAATAATTTAAGTCTCAATCTAGAGCCAACAATATGGCTCAACAAGTGTGACTTCAGTTCAGTCTCTGAAAGCCACATGTTAGAAGGAGAGAACTGCCACAAGTTGTCCTCTGATATCTACAAGCAAGCCATGGTACGTACACGTACACGTACACACAGACACACACACACACACACACACTAAATGTAAAGGAAAAAAAAACATTTTGATTCTCACTCAATGTTTCTTCTTCACTTACTGAGAAACTTCATTTTATAGGGAAGACGTACTTCTTTTCTAAAGCCGTTGATACTGACTTGTTACTCTTTCCATGAAGTCACTAATCTTCAGTTGAATACCTTAGCAGATAACAAACAATTATGTTTGCAAGATATCTTGGAAGTGAGTAATGATCATGTATTACTTAGCCTTGTTTAGAACTCTGTAATTCAAGACTGACTGAAGTCAACAAATAATGGAACAAAGGGTATTGTGGCATGAAGACTGTTTAGATGTTATCCGGGGTTTGTGATCATTTTCCATCAATCTTACTGAAGAGACTTGGAGATTTGATTGTTTCCTGTTTCTGACATTCTACTTACCTAGAGAACTATCTCCAAACAGTGAGCTGCATGGCTCTAACATATCATATGTGCCTCTGTAAAATGAGGGGCACAGACAATGGCAACACAGAGATATATTAAAAAATACATAATGTAACTTGTCTTAATATACTTTTCTGAGTCTAAAAATATGCCAGACCAAAAGAAACATATTTACATAAAAAGCAGACAAGGTCAAATAACAAAGAAAGCCCTTAATTAGTTGTAATCAACTTTAATTTGCATACCGTATATAATTCCTAAATGATTGTTAATAATAACTTTATATAATGGACTTCCAATTTTCATGAAAATGGCACATTTTGATAAGCAGACACAAAGCCCCGGTACTAATAAGGTTTAATTTGCATACATTAGACTGATTACCCAAACAAAAGGATTACGGTATTACTTCTCCATACCTTTCTGTCCTTATTATGCACATTTATTAACTTCACAAAAGCTAGCTGTTAGTGACAAACAATAGCCACGGTTGAAAGAGAGATCTTACAGGACGAATAAAGTACATTTTAACTCGAAGGAACAAATGTTATACGTCGTAGATGCCAACTTTTAACTGTTTGTTGGTTAAAAGGGTCAGAATTTCACAGTGTTTCATCCTTTGAATAAAACAGCTTGTTTTTGTGACCTGGAAAAAAAATGCCCTAACACATCACTCGAATTTAATAATGAACTTATCTCAAGCTAAGAAGCCTCCTCGATACCGCAGTATGCTGAGAATTCATGAACAGCCACAGAATTAAGCTTTAAATGTGTAGTTCTAGGGTGCAGTGTTAATAAATATATTTCAACAAGCTTAGTTTTCAGCCGAGTAAATAATAATATAGGTGGCATTAGTATTGATATCGGTTCCTAATGGTATCATTTATACCCTGCAATTAAAGTTTAAGCACTAAATAAAGCATTATTAGGAGATCTGGGTTGGCTTTTCTTATACGTGAACACAAATGAAGCTCATGAGTGTTTGGATAAGAGCCAAAAAACTTGAAACTTAACCACAAGCTACTTCCGGGGGTTTTCCTAGTGTTTTTGCTACTTGGCAAGATACAGAATTAGAACACCAGGAAATGATTTCCAAAGAAGGCAGAGGAAAATGGAAGCCCCAGGAATTGAGCTAAACTCCACTGTGTTTAACTCTGACCCCTCTGTCAAAGATAAGAACCATCTGCTAGGAATTTTCTAGTCTGAATACCTAGTGAGATTTTTTTTACTAGCATTGTGCTAAGTAAAAGAGAGGGCTGGCAAGGAAAGGCAGCTTAGCTGAAAAGTGCTTGCCGAGAGCATTGGTCACTTCAGTTTGATTCCCAGAAAACCATGGTGGAAGGATAGAACCCACTCCACTAAGCTTCACAAGTGAACTGTAACATGTGCACACCAAACAAACACACACACAAAAGATGGGGGAGAGGGAGAGGGAAGAAGGAAGAGAGAGAGGAAGAGAGAGAAACTGTTGTTATTGCCTGTTCAGAGTTCCAAAATACTACCAAAGGCTGAATGAAGGAGACACCTGACAACCCATCTAGAACAGAAGGCTCTGAAATTCCAATGACATTTCCAGAGCCTAGAAAATATATGATCCAAATAACTCATTCAATGTTCACCTGTCAAATACTTGGACAAGAAATACTAAATCGGAGATACCCACTGTCACATGTAGCTTTCCTCCTCTCTAAGTTTATCAGTTGGTACTCTAGGTCCTAGAGTCTAGGTGGCATTTGTTATAAAATATCATTCACCCAGCATAAGAACAGAAAGCTATGGGGCCAGTTCAGTAGCAGCCCCATGGCCTTCTGTTCTTATGCTGGTTGAATGACATTTTATAACACACATGACACACAAGCCCTACCACCTCAGTTAGATCCCCAGAAACCACATAAAGGTGCATGGAGAGAACTAACTTCACAAAGTCTCCTCTGACCACGTCATCCTATGAACCCCATACACACAACAAGCATGAGTGAGTGCTGTGAGCATGAGCACACACACACACACACACACACACACAGGCACACACACACACACATTTGTTTTTGTTGTTTTTGTTTTTAAGAATGGAAGGCTAATGGAAGTTCCTGCTTACTGTACACACTGTCACACCAGCATTTGGGAGACTAAGGAGAATCATTTGAGCGGAGGAGTTGAAAACCATCCTGAGCAACACAGGACCCTATTCAAAGTGTTGGCAAGAGGGTTGTGTCATAACTTTATGTGCTTATTTTCTTTAAAAAAATTAATTTCAAACTGGACAGAAGAGTAGTAGTTGGTAAGTCACGTATACAGGATAATAATCACAGCACAAGATCCATAAAAATAACAAAGCACTTTTGTTAGAATGGAGCCGTAAATAATAAACTTCAAAATACTACAGTAAGACAGGCATCATACACTCCGGAAGCTGAAGCAGGAAGAT